CTTTAAATTTGCTCTTTTGTTGATTCGAATTATAATATACTCAGAAAATTAAATTTTCTATTTATTAATAATATTCTTTGAAAATGCAAATAATAATGCATTATATTATAAAGACATTCTATTTAAATTTAACTTAAATTTTCATACAAGAATAATTTATTTATAAAATTTAATCATTATAGAATAATTTCTTGATTTTATAGATCCTTTTCATTAATATCGAAACAACGTATATATATTCGGTATCATTCAAAATTAAAACATATTTCCCTTTTTAAATTTATGGAGAATATCCAAATAAACAAAAATTATGTATATGATTTCAATAATTTAAAATATCAATGCTATAAAAAACTATATGAATTATAAGTTAAAAAATTAAAAACACCGATACAATTTATTATGATAATTGTATAAAAAAAAAATTATTCCCCATATATTAAAACAAAATATATATATTATAAAGCTAATTTGTTTAGACTTGATATATATTTAAGATGATTTAAAAATTTGAATATTTTGAATGATTTTTGTAGTAAAATAGAATTTTTTGTTTACAAGTACGAATTTCTTCATTGCGAATCCATTCAATGAATTATGAAAAGATATATTTGTATCTCCTTCACTTGGATGAAAATCTTTATAAACTGTAGATACAATAATCAAAACACAATAAAGTGGATGTTCGAAAAACCAACAATAACATACAATAATATATAATTTGAGCATTACATCATTTTAATAAATCTTATATGGAATAAAATTTATGGCAACTAAATCTAATGATTCTCCAAATATATTAAAGAATAATCAAATCTTTATATAGTTATAAAAAATAAAGAAACTAATGATAATATCCAAACAATAAATATCACTAATACTATTTTTGCATACATATCTAAATCATTTATTTTCCACGAACTTATTTTGTGTAAATGGATCTACAAATACAGAAAAATTATAAAAATCACTAATATTTTATTAAAAGTTTCATATTGTTAAATTTTCCTGCGTTTTATTAAAAAATCTAATTTCAGTTTAATTAAATTTTAAATAACAACAGAAAAACCTACATATTAATAAAAATGTAGATAAAAATATAAAGAGAATGCTAAAAATAGATAGCCTTGAAGAAAATATTTAAAATACTAAGTTTTTATATAATGAATTTAATATTATCTTATTGTCGGTGGTATATGTTTATTTAAACATGCTCACATTTTCGAATTTTTATTTTCAAATAGCAATAACATATAATACGTGAAATAATTAATAAATTTTTAAGTTTTTAATGCAATCCAATATTTTATTGATGAAATTTCTTAAGATACTTTATATAATTTTACAAGATATACTAATAATTATACGAATGTAGAAGCCAATAATCTAACTGGATATTTTAGCCTAAGATTTATTAAATGAAATAAATAATTAAATAAATAAATAAATAAATATATATATAATAATAATAATAATAATAATAATAATAAATTGATCTTAATTTTACGGCAATCGAAAATAGCAAAAATTTACTTGACGTCATTTAAACATTTAAAATATGTAGTTTTATATAGACTAATACAATAAATTACAACAATTATTTGTTTTATAAATAATTAGTCGAAGCATTTGAATGTTAATGTCAATTATTTTAATTATATATAAAAAATAATGTATAAATTATTTATAGATTATTTATAAATTATTTATAAATTATAAATATACATAATGTTGAAATAATATCGAAATATTTCTATTTATCCAATATCTATTCTTATTCACTTTTATTACTATAGCATATTATATCGATTTATACAAAATATATCTTTTATATTCTATGTCTAGCATGTTAATTAATATTTTATAAAAATAAATCAATTATTTTACTTTAATAATGAATTAAAAAATATTGGTGAATTTTTAATCTAAGGATTGAGAAGTTTTATTTTAATTTCATGTTTATTGAGTAGTTATACATTATCAACACATGAAATTAAAATCAATTAATTTTTTTAAATGCACAAAATATAAATAAACTATTCATACTAATGACTTTAATTAAATTTGATAACTTTAAAATAATTTAATACTACTTATGATGAGTACTAGTAATAAAGTTTATCTAAAATTGAAAAGTATAAATCTACAGTTACAAAATGTTTTAATTAAGATTACATGTGAAAATATGTATTTTTGTGTAACAAATAAAATGCATTGCGTTAAGTATTAGCCTTTAAAAATGCACCATATATGTATAAGCATTTAATGTATCCGTGTATTTCGTAGTGCAGCAGAAAAATAAAGTTAAAATAGTTTTAAAATTAAATGAAAAAAAAACAATAAAGAAAATAATAAAATGGTTTGCAGCGCCAATGTCGGTTTGGTTAATCGTACTTACAATATCTCCTCTCTTTATGTATGTTTATGTATGATGCGCGCGCAGTGCGTGTTGGCATGCTGCGAGTGCGCATAAATATTCATCCCTTTAGATTATACAAAATATTTGTTCGTTTTTTTCTGGTGACTGTTCTATAATTTCTTTGAAAGTTTTCTCTTGTATTGCCATACGAGTTCATTCTCAGGTTCATATCAATTTGCCATCAAGTATTTAAGCAAAATAAATTGAAATCAAAGATGGCGGGCTCATTGCTTCCTTGTCATCCTCGTCATTACAATAGTGCTGTAGCCTCATATATTACCACTGTCTAGTCATTGTATTCTGCGTGCGATTTATTTCATCATAACTTTGTTGTTCTTTATCAACGATATGAAGAAGTTCGACAACGCTAAAAATTACTAGGCATTGTTTATATCGATCAGGACCAAGAAACAGTGACCCCGACGATAACAAAAATTATACATGTTTTTAAATTAATGTATGCACAAGTGAGCATGTGCATTGAGTGCAGAAGTCTTTCGGGTGTCCCTGTGCTTAATCGAATGGGATACAAGATATTGGCTTAAACTCTTGTGCAACCAACCATTGCGTAGAACGTAGAGTTTGAAAATAAGACGAAAGAAAAGACGATAAGCATCTAAATTATCAGTAGAAGAAACACCTGCAGGGCTTATCTTTACTTTTTCAGCTTAAGAACTCAAAGACGAGGTTACCAGACCGGCAACTGAAATTTGTCTTCTAGAATACAAGGTGTGTTCTCACGTATATTCGTGTGCTCGATCACTTATGATATATCTACGCTTATGACAGTACTTTAATAAATAATTCAAATGGGTTATCATAACACTTAATGTAAATAATAATTAGCACATACAGAGAATAGTCGAAGTTCGTACTTCGAGGTTCTAGCAGACGACGTTGATAGGAAAAATAAAATAAATAAATTTGAATCTGCAGGTTCTACGCGCGTGTCATAAAAGTGTAGGAATTTACATGTCGTAAGTATTTGGATGAATAGGAACATCATTTTTTGTTTTTTTTGCAGCGTAAGATTACGTATTAAAGAAAAAATATCCGTAATTTATTTTCATTTGATCTTTTATTTTATAGAATTATTAGTATAATTGTTCTCAATAAAATACGTATTTTTAATATTAATTTTTATACAATTTATTACTCTTGATTCTGAATTGATCAAAGAAAATTTACGAAAATAATTTTATTAAAATTAAAATAATTATTCATAAAAAAATTATATTTTAACCGTTAATTGATTTTATACGCTTTTAACAAAGTAACTGTGCATAGACTGTTATTGACTCTGTCTTGGATTATACATTTCATAAGATTGTTGTGCGGAAAAATGGGTGAATTTACATTTTTATCGATGAAATAAACTTATGGGTATTGTATTTGTATCTGAGTATTAGGGATTTTTCCTTTGTCTATATAATTAACATTTTTATTACTATTTATATGCTAAAATTCTTGTATAGCAGCTTTTCTTTGAATCCAATCTGTTTTTAATCTTAATATACAGTAATTTTAAGAGGATAACGTGAAGATCAAAATAAAAATAAAAAAAATCTTTTAACTTATATTTACCATTTCAGTGAATAGAAGGCTTGAATTTCAAATGGAAAATCCATACCAGATTTTCGTAAAAGCAAATATTCATCGAATGAAGTTGCGAATAAAGAACAAACAAAACGTTATAGTGTGTATTAAGTTATTTATTAATTAAAGTAGGGAAA